CACACCTATCATACATGTAAAACTCCAAGAGCTCTTACGAGTTTTAAATTATTCGAAGATTCGGATTATAAACTTTTAAAATTCGAAGAAGAGGGTTAAAACCCGTAATAACTCTTGGAGTTTTACATGTGTGTAAAAAAACGAAACCAATTGGACAATTTTTGACTTCGTATGAGGTTATTTTTATAGATAAGAATAGTGAAATCTCGTTTTTATAAATCGACCAAAATAAATAGTTTTGTCATTATTTAGTTGCAATCTTCATCAACTTTTATCGGTGATGCCTGATATTTTTTTCCGTAAAACATTCACCGTCAGATTCTGAAAAAAAATGTATGATGTAGTTAGTACATAATGGTTCTTCCGCCTTCAAAACAAAATAAAATCGAACAATAACATTACTCATGACTTTCAAAATCTGACGGTTTTTCGACTTTTACAATTGTTTGCTTCAGAAAGCAGTATTTACTCTTAATTCACTTTGGTTTTCAATATAAAATCCGTTTAATTCATTTTTGGATATTTGAATGTTGCTGGTCATTGTCAACATCCAAATCGTAACTAGAATGAATGGCAAATGTGTGATACAGAAAGCCAACGTGATTTAAAACTAAATAATGCGTTCGGGTAAAATGTTGGAAAAGGCGAAAATTTCACAATATGCATGTAAGTGACTAATGGTCTCTTCTTCAGCCATTCTTACATATACCTACACTCCTAGAGTTACTCATTTCTCGTTCATTGTCTTACTCTTTCGTGCTCGCCCTTAATCAAATAAGTTGTGCTCTGCGATACATAGGCGAAGCGACTTTCGTTGATGAATTGGTAGGAGGCCAAATGAAAAACGAAAGCCGACACGAAAAGCTTTGAGTAGGCATGAATAAGGGTGGGAACGTGAAATGAATACAGCTGCCAAGACCGATTTCAACCTTGTTGAAGGATCTTATTACATATTTTCAATTCGGTCCTATCTGCTTCGAGGAATTTTTCATGTCTTATTTTGAAATAGCGCTATTTCAAGATCAGATTCAAAAAAGTCCTCATTGTAAAGGAAACCGAAATGAAGCCATCTGATGAGACGTGCTGAGTGACGTCAAAACTGGTCTTAATAGCTCGAACTCATTCATACCTAAGCCCTCATCCAGATGAATTTAAATAAATGGATAATATAAACACATTATGTTCTCTCTCTAGTTGAAATATGATCATTCTAGATAGTTGTTCTTCACATCGATCAGAATGGGGAAATGGGAAATTCAAACACAAGAGTCAGGAATCACGGATACGATGAGAATCAACATATTAAGCACAATCAATACTTCAATTGATACACACGGATCATCAAATATGTTTGAAATCGCTCAAGATGTTAAACGTTGGCTAGGCTCCACTTATGGAAAAATCTGGATGGTTTTAATTTACAAAACTGGATGTGCTCAATGTGCTTGGACTTATTACGATCATAAACATTTGAGGGTTTATGAAAACAACTTGGGTTGGACCATAAGTCTTTTTCAACAAGCTCCATAATAACGCACGGCAAAATCCATTCAATAAACTGCACTACAGAAATTGAGAGGTATAAGACAAAAGATCACCTGCTATGTTTCGTTGAAATAAATTCAGATTTGTCAAAAACCGTCTTGAAACTCGATGAACAATAAACAGATTGTTTTGTCTAGACTTCTTCGAATGATGGCATCAGTTAGCTTGAAACAAGATGAGGGCGTGGATGAATGTGTGAGTGTGTCTGTATGTGTTGCTATCCATGTGAGTGTCGGTGTGGAGTATGAGTGTAGGTGTTAGTGTGGGTGTGTGTATGGGTGCTGTCGGTGTAACTCAATAGACACCTCGCAAACACTGGCACCTGTTTCATTCACAGCCATCTAGACTTATATTCCATTGATACCCACACTCCACTCTTCTCAATACAGAAATAATCCTACACTGACTAAAGCATATAGAATCTTAATGTAGAAATCTTTTAAAAATGATCCATAAAGGAGCAAAATATGGAATTTAACTAATGTCTTGAGTTCTATCAAATGATGATAGAAGAGTTTTTGTTATTTTTCCATTCATTCGATTAAATCATTTCATATGACCCGATTTGAACGTCTATTTTTCGCGTAACATAGTTCAACATTTGCTTTTTTGAAACTTTATATCTAATATAACATATTTTTAGACTGAATTTTACTATTGTTAATTTCTATTTACAAATGACTTCTCTGGATATGGATGGAATATTTTTAAAAGTAAAGATAGTTCAAAATTTCTATTAACAAGTAACTACATGCAGATTCCACAAAGAAAACAATCAAAAGTTTCCGCGATTTGTAGTCCAAAAAATTCTCGTCGATATCTTTGATAAAAATTGAAGTATATAGACAAATAATAATTTAAACCTTGCAATAATCTACAAGCTATTCATAATGACAATTAATAAGAAGATTGATTTTAATTACTACTGTCTCGCAGATGTTACAAATTGGACTATTCTTCATTTCATAGTTACAATTTAAAAACAAAACACACGAAACTGGATCAAATTTAATCGAAAAAATTCATTATTAGTATAGAATATTATTTATTAAAGTTAAATATTATAAGTATATCAAATGACAGTACAGAATTATATTAAAATAACCTTGTCTCTCTTGAATAGTTAACAGTCATAACTCATTTCTAATGGAAAAAAAAAACAATTATAATTTTCAATCCAATGCACACATGGAGATATTTTTATTTATAAATTAGCTACGCTTTTGAGTAGTGTTTTTATACAAAGCTATTAGAAACAGATCGATATAATTTTTCACTGCTAGCTGGTGACATGAACGAGAAGAAAATGTGGCATCTTTAAATAGTGATTCAATTCTTGTGTGACAGAATAATAGCTGATAATATGAAACTGACCTACCCATATTAGATAATCTTGTAGAAGATAAATTAATTATCTGTGAGATTATTTTATCTATGACTTTTTTGGAATTACTGTTAAAATTTAGTGAGTTTCAACTGTGTTGAATTATTTTCTATCAAAAAACATCGTACTGTTTGACGGCTACTTCTTACTGTTGGCTAAAATATGAACTCACAAAGATTTAAACTTTTTAGAAAATTTTGTTGAAAGTAATTTTCAGAATTAGAAAAAAGAAGTTCAATTATTTAAATGTCCGGTCAAATAATTAGTCTTGAATAGTACTTGTCGATAGTTCTTCATGAATATAAATTGAAACTTCTCTCTTTAACTATTAATCATTAAATAATTTGTTTTATAAAATGCTATAAAAGTAGTCAAGCCACTTTAATTTCAAGCAGTCTGATCCGATACTCTCTATGTGTTTCACAATAAGAATTTATTACAAAAAATTGATGATCATATCAATAGAATAAATTTTGAGAAGTTTAGACTTTTTAAAGATGTTTATTCTAGTAGTGGATGTAATGAAGAGCGTGGATGTGGGTGGAACAAGAACCACATCTCGCACCTCACGCCCACCGACATTCTTAAATCGATGAAAAAGCTGAAATCTGATGTCATATTGAGACTCATCACAACCAATCGTCCTATCTGGACTACTTTCTATTCCCTACAGATTGTTAGGCCAATTTCATGTTTCTCAAAGACAGAGACATATCTTCTAAACTATTTACATTAAAAGCCAACCATTCGATACATGAACATCGTCCATTTTTCTACCATTTTAATGGCATCGTCATTAAGTGGCAGTGGATCACGAAAGAACAGTAACCAAGTCTATAAAATAAATCTTTAAACCAAGAGTAAAATCGAAAATTTTCTTTCAAGAGTACTTGAGTATATGAAAGATAGTTACAATTTAGGACTAGATAGAGAAACAATCAATGATATTACAACGAACGCAGATACCCATGGACTATGGCGTCTAGTTTGGTTTATCGCTGATCATCAACTGAGGATGAGGCCGAGATCAGAATAACAAACTGATGAAGTAGCGGGATAACGAAATGTAAAGGGAATACGGTTATCAAGCAGTGTGGTGACGCATTACTTCAACAAACAACTAACGAAAAAATTGACGGTTTTGTGTAAAAGGCGCACATTCTAACGTAGTGAAAAATATTTCTTGCTGAGAAAAAGAAAAGTTGACTCAAGGGTGAGTGTGAGTATGCATATGTTGGTAAGAGAAGACCGACACCGACACCCACACCCTCAATAAACGTAATATTGAACTTTTGTGTTTAGAACATTATGATAGAATAAGTAGCATTGATTCGATATTTGGATATTTAGTGATCGATCAACTGGTAGTGAAATGCGATCTTGAGTATGCTACTTCGTATCATTCTACGACTTAGATAAAGAGAACGAGAAATAATTGTCTTGAGAAACGTACAAATTTCGATGATACATAAATATATACTCAATCGAATCTTTTTATAAAGTCTTCGAACATATCTTTGTACTGTTTCAATCGTTTTTAATGCAGATATAAGTCTAGAGCAGAAATTTAAGCTTTTAAAATTAAAATCTCTTTAAATACTTATGTGAAATTATCCAATCATGATGCAGCTGATGAGTTGCTATTGGAAGTTGTAGTTGTCAGTGAGTAAGCGATGCGTTTACATAATTTCACCATCAATGACGCTACATGCGAGAAACGTTGTGCAATAACTCTTCTTTTGCTTATATAGCAAAGCAGTCGCCGAGTGACTATAATATATTCAAAAAATAACAATTCTTTTCATTTGACCCACATAATTTCTCAAACATGTCTTCATCAAATGAGAAAACACAAGTCATTATCGATTTAAATAAAATATTAAATCTTAATGATGTTACTGAAATAAAACGAATGGAAACTGAATTTGAATCGAATGGCTGGTGTTTCGTCTTTTTACCAACTGAACTCATTCTAGACAGAATGTTGACCAGGCAACTGTCGACATTTTTCAAGTCTGATAATAGTAAGAGTAGATATTCACAGCACTTGGCTATATATGGATATTCTAAAATGGACCATAAAGAAGGAATCAAACTTCTGACTGGAAGTTATTTTGGTCAATTTGCAAATAAAGGACTGGTACCAAAGACGCTTGTTCAACCATTGAACTATCTTTCTCAAGTATTAGATGCCATTACAAAACGTTTAATCGAAGTCCTTGATCAACATTCAGTATTTCAAAAGCAGCCATCTTTATCATCTCTTATCGAACGTGCCGATCTTCCATTTCAAGATGAGCATTTCGGTATGCTTGACATTGTATCTTACTTCAACAAAAAAAGTGGCTTTCAACCACCAGAGAACGGACAAACAACCGAAGAAGTCAACTGTGTTCCACATTATGATCCAGGATTATTTTCAATTAGTATTTTATCGACACATGAAGGACTTCAATTGAAAAATATGACGAACAATGAGTGGGTAGATGGACCTTTAGAACCAAACATTGGTGTCATCTGGTTAGGAGAAGCGGCATCTCGCATCACACAAAATCGACTTAAACCAGGTATTCATCGAGTTATTTATCCTCAAAAATCGAAAAGTCGACTTACAATCTGGTATGAAGTATGTACTACGGAACAGTTAAAAAATATAAGTGCTGACAAGAAAGATGAACTAATGGCTGATGGAGCTGTCACTTTCGCAAGTATGCCTGGATCGGCTCCAATAACTGTTTTACCTGGTGAGACAAAACTGGAATTTTTGAAACGAGTTGAAATGGCTCACGGGTTATCTATGAGTAAAGTAGGCCCACCATATTATGTACTCGAAAAACATACTATTTCATATCCAACAAATGATTTGAAAACTGAATGAACGTCATACTAATCTATGTAATAAACTCGAATCATTATCTATTTTATATTTTATATTTTTTCTACTTTTGCAGAAAACATTTAGCTTCAGCAAAATAATAATCAATTCAATGACAAATCTTAATCGATGAAACAAATTAAGAACTATTGTTTTTCTTCATTTTTAGAGATAGTTTATAATATTCCAGAAGTAAAATTTGAAAAAGTTTAATATCTTCTTTCGAAAATGTAAATCATTCTATAAGTAATTATGATTACTATTTTAAATATAATATAAAGTAAAATATATAGCGTTTTTTTCTATTTTCTTCTAACTCTAATGTCTGAAGCAGTTAGAAAATTTATGTTTAGTGATATCAAAACAGCAATTACAGTCAAGGAAGCTGTCATCGTATAACAAGTCACTTATCTACTTACTTTTTTTATGGAATTTCATATAATTTCTATCCTTTCGTTTATATTTATCTTTCTGACTAAATCGCATAAGTTTTAGGAAAAAAAGTTTAGAACTGTAATATCGATCAAAAACTTGGCTGTTTTCGGTTACATTTCATGAGATATTGGATACTTATGATTCTATTTTCCTTTTATGACAGTTTTTCTGTTCAATATTCTGGCAGCAGTAATAACAGTCTCAATCAAAGAAGAACGACTATCTTGCTATTTCATCTATTCAGTATTCACCAGTGTGCCAGAAACACTAACTCTTATAGGTCACAATGCCCCAATCACTGCATATAAAAAAAATGATTATAAAATTGCTAGAAAAACCAATATCAAGCCGACAACAATGAAGACCAGAAGAAGATCGTATTAATCACATTCCACCAAGAATTTCAAGATTTACCATTAAGCTTATGATTCTTTGAAAGAAAATCAGGACTGTCGTATATGAAGATCATGAACAAAACTTCAAAGTACTGAGTATTAGCTTTTCTTTATCCCATATTACGAACGAATAGTATGAATAAAAAATTTGAAGTAGAATCAGTCATTTTTGATACAGCTTAATAAATCTAAGGTCGGAAGCACCAGATTATAATTCTATCTGATCGATGAATGTCAACTGGTTCTCTTTCTTTTTTTGGGGAGGTGCGGACGTATACGCCATCTTTGTTCGTGTAAAGAATTGGTAATAACCAGTCGACCAGTTACTATTCCCCACAAGCTTATCTTCAAAAAACTGGCTTCAATCGATGAGAGATAATAAACAAATAGTCTTACTATTTTTAACAAGGTATCATTCAACCGATTAAATATCTTCTTTTCTGAGAGACACGTCATTCGAATACTAATCGACTTTTTTTCTTTCTTTCTGTTCTCTCCACGTCGTCTTTTACTACGGCTGTTTTATTGATTCTTTTTGCTCTTTTCTTTCTTTCACAAACATTATGCACACATGTTATTGTGAAAAAAGGACAGATAATATTACTCTATTGCTTTTACACAAGAAGGTAAGTATACTATTTACGAGCTACAAAAAACTACGTAAATTTTATATGTAAGAGAGTTGAGTTTTAGTCAAACGGTTTTTATTAAAACTGTTCGACAGGCATCGGACTTTATCCGACGTACTATTTTACCGTCCTCCGGAGGTGAAATATTAGTGGAATGAACTAATTTAGGACAATGATAATAAATAGGTTCACCAAATGATCCATGAAGGTGCTTCGAAGTCGATGGCGTATACTTTAAAATTGTAAGACAACTAATCCGAATTTAGATATCTTTCAGAAAATAATGTATCAAATCATGAATGATTTTTAAGAAATTTCAGTAGATTTCAACGAATTTCTTGCAGATCCTAATTACAACTTCCGTAATTAATTTTTAAAACCCTTAGAAATCTCACATAGTGACTAGAGAGGAAATCATCTACTGTATTCTATTATTCTTGATTCTGTAAATTGAAATATTTCAAGATTACACAAGGGTCAAGTTTGATTTATTTTTATTTGCTGCAGTTGTTTAATTGGTAATGATGATTGAGTAGAAAAAATGTTTAATTCAGGCTTAGTATTAAAAAATATTTCTTCTTTAGAACTAATCATTGAAAATGTCCGCCGCTGTACGAGCAGCAACTGCTTCAAACGCTCGTATTCTATCTTCTTTAAAACCACCTCCAAATGTTGTCGTCGTTGGTGGTACATCAGGTATTGGTCGAGCAATAGCTCTTTCAATAGCTCGACATTGTCCATCTGCTAGTATAACCATTGTTGGACGAAATGAATCGGCTGCTAATGCTATCCTATCACAATTAGGTTCAAATCCAAAATTTATTCGTGCTGATGTCTCACTCATGTCTGAAATTCGAGCAGTAACAAAGAAGATTAATGCAGTTGACATGCTGATTTTAACACAAGGAATTTTAACTATGGCAGGTCGAACACCAACAACAGAAAATATTGACAATAAACTAGCTTTACACTATTATGGTCGAATTTTATTCGTACAAGAACTTCTTCCATTACTTCGATCGTCACAAAATCATAGTAAAGTTCTATTCGTATTAGACAGTGTCAATGGAAATCCATCTAAAATCAATTGGAATGATATGGCACTAGAAAATTCATATTCTCTTGCTTCAGCTGCTAATCATGCAATATCATTTACTGATCATGCTATACAATATCTTGCGTCACAACCAGAAAATACAAATATAACATTTACTCATGCATTTCCTGGAGTTGTTCGTACATCACTTGTCGATAATTTACCATTTTGGGCTCGAATACCAGTAAAATGTTCGTTAGCCCTTGGTTTAGGAGTTACTCCAGAAGATTGTGCTGAACTAATGATATATGGAATGCTTGGAACAGAGAAAGGCTATAGATATGTCAATGACAAAGGAGAAACAGTAACGAATAAGAGACCAATACAAGAAGAGATGGTAGCAAAAGTTTGGGAACATACATCTCAAATGATTTCTTCACGTTAATGCAAATAACTCTGCATATTATATCCTTTTTTCTGACCTTAATAATTGATTTTACTTTATTTTATGCTTGTAATTCAAGAGCTGACAATCTTTTTATCACTTTTTTATAATTTACGTAGACTAATCGATTATCAGTTGTCCTTAATAACTAAATCTCATTTATGTCTAAGCAACATGAATTTTTCAGCACTTGATCATGCTAAAATTTGAGTATCAGTATTCCTTTGGTCCAATTCAGTACATGATAGTCCGTAACCAGAAAAATTGAATGATTCAACTTTTAACTAAATCATAGTCTTTTATTCTTCTTTGAAAATGAGTTCTTCTTCTGAACGTGAAGTTTTCAAATCTTGTTGTTTGATGATATTATATCTCCATGAACAACGGGGATAGTTATTTCGCACACTTGTTTTTTTAATCGTATAATAAACAAAAATACAAGTTAAAATGAATTTAACATAAGCTTAAAAAATATATTAGGACAACTCAAAAGAAAGAGAAGAAATCAAGATTTCATAATGAACTTTTTGATGAGGTATAGCATTTAAAAATAAACAGTTGTTTATTAGCTACTGGAAAACTGAATAAAAAAGTCAAAGATAATTTCCATCCATTGGGAAAAGTGTGAGTTTAGGAAGTGAGAGTATAAAGAAGTGGGTAGAAGTGAAGAAAAATCTTCATATCACAGCCATATCCGTACGTTGGAATACAAGATTTATTTTTCTCCTCCTATAGAATATCATCTCGGGTTGATGAACAATATTATCTAATCATTGTGTATATTTACACATATACATGATATCCACTCATCGGTTATGTCCAGCTCCGCTCATACTAATAACTCAATTATCAAAGATCAGACATTTTTATTTATGATAAAAAAATAAAGATTTCTTTCTTTTAGTATTGCAATGAATGATTCAGGTTTCCGTTTTTCTGCTTCACCTTCTTTTACAGGTGTGTTCGTTCTAAGTTGACTGAAGATTGATTTGTTTTACTTATTCATTAATTGTTCTCATGCCACGCAGAAGAACCAAAAAAGAAAAAGAAGAGTCGCCTTCCAGCGTATTAAAATAATAATGTGGGTAGCAGATGTTGGGTGTCGAGGCTCTCAATGTGATTAACACTCAAAGCAGAATGTTTCATTAGATGTTTCTCTGAACTACTACTAATTGAAATCTATACAGCAAGAAAAATTGATAAATGCAACAACATAGTATATGTGCTATAGAACGACGATTGGTAGGAAACGCCAAACACAGCTTGATGTATCTACCATTATGTGTTTTCAATTTTCTTCTATCGATGGTCGATTACATGAGTTTTGAAAATTCTGCAAGATAAGATGATCGACACCAGTATTTTTTTGATATTGATATGTGCATATACATAACAAAGGATTATGATTGAATAATTAATTACACGAATATATTTGACATTTAAAACAAATACTTTCAATTGTTATTTGCTTTTCGATTCATATGTTTTAAATGCTAATCCTACTTTAGAATATCATTCAAAAAAACAATCTATCATTCGTTTTGTTGTGAAAAAGATATGATGTTGCATATATTCTTCACTATTTTCATATTCATCAATGGCATGAGTTCGTGGTTAAAGCAAACTACAGCTGTATGTAATGAGCTTTTTCCGATAAAGTTAAATTCAATTTGGTTTTGTGATGAAAGGCTTGTTTGTTAAAATGTTTTGTAATGAACCATAGATACCACTTTTTCGCAGCTTTGTAATAATCAAAGAGTATTGCTCCATATTGAATCATACTTTCCGTAACTTCATTCAAAAGTCAGTTTAGTCAAATGATATGCATCCAGAGTGCATGACCAAACAGATAAAGTTAGATAAAAGATTGAACAAACTTAGTACCAAAGTCTGTAAAGCTTTTAGATTCGACTCAACTCACTCAGTAGTTTATTTGGAAAAAGTTTCAACTCATTATTAGAAATTCAACTTTTCAAATGATCAGAATGAGACTATGGCGATTTCTATTGAAAATTCTACTAGATATTTTATATCTTAAGAAAGAAATCGACAGCAACCTGGCTACCATTGATCAAGTACACATAGTCTTTATCAGCTATATGTTTCTTACTTGGAGAAGTTCTCTTGTATATGAAGTCGATCTATTGAATGCCACTTATGCTGTTAGATTTTCAAAGAACATAGAATAAGTATTCAATGAGCTATATTTCAATCATTTGTGAAGTAATTTCGATAGAAAGTCTATTCATGAACAGCAGATCCAAAATGATCGAGTTATAAATGCTTCAGAATAGAACCAGTATGACTTTTTATGAGAATTTACAAATAAATGTGCATTTTTATCTTATAAGAATAGCTCTTGAACTAAATTATTAGCTATAACGTTGAACATAGCTCAAGATGCTTGGCATTATTATTTTTGTGTTTAAGTAGGGTAGGACGAGTTTTCAGATAATTTTTTTCTGTATTGTATCAAATCAAAGTTGAACCTTATACGGTGATCATCTGATCATTTTCGTTTAGAATAATTTATTTTGTATTTTTAGGAACCTTACACATGGTATAATGAACCAACTCGATGGTCATCAAATTCATCTACTATTATGGTTCATACAGATGGAAAAACAGATTTTTGGAGACAAACTTATTATGGATTCGAACGCGACAGCGGTCATTTTTATTATCGTTCTATAGACGCTCAACAATCATTTACTGCTACGGTCAATGTCCGGGGTGACTACAAAGTAATTTATGATCAAGCAGGTTTAATGCTTCGCAATGATGTATACAACTGGATCAAATGCGGTATTGAATATGTTGATGGACTTCATTATGCTAGTGTTGTTGTTACTGTGAATGGTTGGTCCGATTGGAGTGTTGTACCACTTGAGACACCTCCAAATCCTTTGAGATTACGAGTCAAACGCGAGAAAGAAGTCGTTCATATTGATTATGGAGAAGGTGAAAATGGTGCATTTAAAATGATGAGGCTTGCCTATTTACCAGTCGCAAAGAAAACAGCTCCAATCATGGTCGGTATTATGTGCGCTTCACCCAGTGAGGAAAGTGATGGTTTCGATGTCACTTTTGATCGATTGAATATTACTACACATCCATAAGATAATGATTGAATGAAATAAATATAGACGATGTTTAAAATCAATGGGCCATAATTAAATAGAAAGTAATAAGCAATTCTTATTTTGTGTATTTTATGTTCTACTTCAATTGTTAATCGATTGATTGAATATCTTTACTAAATTCGTGGACACAATGGCACAATATTCATCAGAAGTTTGTCTTAGTCTTTCATGTTAGTCTCACCCATATATTCCGTTCTTCTAAATTAAAGCGATAAAATTACGAATTCCTCTACTAAATAATAGATCAAAACATTTAGAAGTACACAAAAAATACAGTCATATCCATAAAATGTAGCCTTTTGAGTTGACTTGAAATTTCCAAGTTGAGTGCTACTATGAGCCTTTTCAACTAGCTAATGCTTAACTGGAATAGATGAGAAAATTTGATATATTTAATATATACCACTGCCATTCATCACAGAATATAATGAAGTGATACATTCATAATTCTATTTATAACAGGACTCGGATAAAATGGTGGAAATCAAGGCATGATACAGATGATTGTATTAAAATTTAAGCATGTCATCTTAATATTTATTATCAAAGTTTAAACTAAAACTTTTATTTCAACAAATTTGCCAAAGTATTGTAAATCTTCAATACTACTTCTAATCAGATTCGATTAATACACAAAAAAATTGACCACATATCATTCAAGACACAAACTTCAGCCTGGCAGCTTTGATTCGAAGTATCTCGATTAGACTTCTGCAAAATGGTCACGGTCACGGTCACGGTCACGGCCTCTCGTGACTAGTTTTCGAAAAATTGTCGTGACTGGGATCGTGACCGTGACCAAATAGCTCGTGACCGTGACCAAATAGCTCATGATCGTGACCAAATAGCTCGTGATCGTGACTTAATGGTGAAAAATTTTGAGATTAGAAATCTAATTTTTGTGAAAAAAAATCAAGATTTTAATTGATTTACGTGTTTTCTGCGTTTTTTACAGAGAAAATATGTGAAATCAATATAAATCTTGATTTTGTAGCACAAAAATCCAGCTAGTAATCCAAAATTTCCGTGACCGTGACGTGACCGTGCCTAGTTTCGAAAAATTTCCGTGACTATGACCGTGATCGTGACCAGGCAGCTCGTGACCGTGACGTGATCGTGACTAGTTTCAAAAAAACTCCGTGACTATGAACGTGACCGTGACCAGGCAGCTCGTGACCGTGACGTGACGTGACTGAAAAAACGTGGTCACGCAGAAGTCTAATCTCGATTAGTTACATACGATTTCTAGCTATTTATGTTAACGGCATTTTAAAATCAATATTTAATTTTACTCAATAGATTGTTCGTTCTGTTCTACATTATTTTAATCATTCATTTTTTGCGTACTGCAACGATTAAAAACAAACATTATCTTGATTTTTTTTCTTTGGTGCCCACTCAAATCAGTATCTTAAATAAACATGTATTAAGCATGCAAAAATGCAAACAACTCGATTTTGTTCGATTGCCATCAGTTCGTTTTTGTCATGATTTATAGTTTCAGAATGAATTTACGTCAACAACTTTATGTGTCTAGATGGTTTTCTAATGCAATAATATTCTAACTTGAAAATTGTGATGAAAACTGAGGACAAATGAAAAAGTTATTTGCATATTGAACTCTGCCGTATTCGAGAAGTTAATTTTTCTTACAAAACTTCGATTCATTCGTGTAGTCAATAAAAGCATAAACTCAGATTAAAGAACTATGTAGTACCATTCAATCTTTTCGCATACATACAGAACAAATCCATTTACAAGTCGTGCACGGTTTTCTCTGTATTTATTCAAGTGTTTAAAAAAAAGGTAGTTAAGTATCAATGTTTGATGACATAGGGCGATATTCAATTTTATCGTGTACATAGTACACATTATGAGTATGTTCGAAACATCGGTATTTCATGTCTTGAATGTATTGAAACACGTATCGAAGATGATTAAACTTATTTGGCACAATTGCAATAGTTAAACGTTTTTTTTTCGCCTATATGAAGTAGAAAAGATGATTTATTAATAAGAAAACGATGAGAATGGTGCGGAAGGATGAGTATGAACATGTCGCTATGCGTCTTGTTTACGTTTACAGTCACATTCACCCTCTCAAAGATAACACTTTTGAGATATTATCAACTCAGGCTTACTCGATTTACGCTGTTCTATGATGATATTTGATGGAAGTACTAGTGCGAATAGAATTACACTTTATTCAGTTTACACTCAGAACACACGTCTATACAAGCAAGCCAAAGAGAGAAAACGAGCAAAATAAGGACACTAGGAAGAATAATCGACGCGTCACAAGCGGTCAAAAAAGGAAAAAACTATGAATGTTCCACAAATCTTAATATGCTTTTATCATATAGAGTGAAGACTCACATAGAGTGGCTGAAATTGATTAGCGTGTGTTGACAACTTGGTTGGAACTGCATGATTCATAATACCACAAAGTGTTATCTTTGAATCGAACTTTTAGAAATTGATCCATACATAGGTTTTAGCTGAGTGATCAAATGGTATGATGGTCATTTTTGAAAGATTTTTAGCAGTTTCAAGAGTGCTACCAAGGATTTGTAACTGATCACAAACTCGAAAACGGTTTTTTTCTTTATTTACTCTATCTTTTATTTTACAATGAGCGCTTCATAAGTATAATAGGGTAAATATTTTGAAGAAAACATATCGATCTAGAAAAAAGTCAAACAGTTCTTTAGAAAATCTTGACCAGTAAAACACACTTTTTATTTGTGGTTTGATGCTCATACTTCAGAAGAGAGCATAAAAATATCAATAGATACATAAAGAAAAGATTATAAGATCAATCATTTTAATCAGTTGATTGTTTAAATTTCTATGAATTTTTGTTAAACATTCAATATGTGTACATTTTCAATATTTGGTAGTTCTTGTTGTTTTATTGAATACGAAAACATACCCATCAAACTCGAACAATAATTTCTCTTTTTAGAATTGAATGAATGAGATAGCTGACGATAGTGGCTGACTTATATTTCTGAAATATAAAATACTTGTGATCATCTTAACAGAGTTTCATATGTAAAATAATTTTTCCTTCTACCATCTTGTTGATTGGACAACAAAAGCCAGTAGACAGTCAGTTTACCACCCTTTTTTTTTGAATGTAATGTATCATGATGCATTGGATCAAAACGAGTGAGTATTTTTGAAGTCTGTTAAAACTGACAGAATTGACTTGATTTCAACGTGTTTCGATAATGTTGATGTGCCTGAGTCGCCTGTACTAGTCACAGATTCGAAATGAGTTCTAATGCTGAGATACATTTTTTTATTATTATAGAGGGAGCTACAAAACTTTTTATTAGTAAAATATATTTTGAAGGTTTTTTGCTTAATGAATTTAAATAGATAATACTCTATGCAATGGTTTATAGTTGGAACCGAAAGTTGTTAGCGCTATCGCCGATTCATACAAGTACTGTGGCGAAACAGCGGTACTGCGAATAAATGTGTAATATAGATAATGAAAAGAGCAATAATAAACTAGAGACATGACTTTTTTTTTTTCGATATGTCATTTCGACATATCTTCGTTCTGATATTTAATTTTCGACATGTTCCTCTTCAATCAAACTACCGCATCTCATATAAGCAGCTTGGTGAAAACATAGCAGCACTCCATTTGAAGCTATTTCTCATTGTCAATAAGAGTTACATGACAAAGGCTTCACATCAATCTCGTGTTCGTTTAATTTATTCTTTATGCTTCCAATAAGGCAAGAAAAATACATTGGATATACAAACTCTTCTTAAAGTTTTTTCTTTTTTTAGCCAATGGACAACCGACTGTGTTGTTCGGCTTCCCTTATTCATTTATTCTGTGCACAAATTTTGTCATGAATATTATTCCTACTCAACTCACATTGGGCATGATGTGTTGAAACAGCAAAATAACAGTGCATCTGTTGGAAGCGTGATTACTTTTTATTGGTAGTGTCGACATCAGAGCGAACGATGCCTGTTTACACAACAACAGGTCTATTTCTTATATGAATAGAAGAAAAGAAACAGAAATAGAAAAAAATATGCAAATATGTGAGAAAAAGAAAATGCAGTAGAGCAATCAATCTCGCTTCTTTCGTATTTATCGATTCGATCCTTTTGCTTCATCAACTATGTAAGAATGAGTAATGATTAGGAACATTGTCAGTATAACTTCCGATGAGATTATGATGTGGAACACACATACAATCATCCAAAGAATCACAGAGCAAGTATTTTAAACATTGAGATATTTTTAGCATTCTCTGATAGTTTCGCAGTTCTTTGTCTTTCTCCATTGATTATTGTATTGCAATCATTTTCTGTTGTCAACTTCTTTTTTTCGTTAGTTGTTCTCTGTTTTTCGTGAGCTTCATAATCACATTTATTCCGTTAAGCTTAGTCGCAGAATATGCGACCTTATTTCGGTAGGTTTGTTTTCTAATAGAGATAACATTTCTTTCATTTTTGTTCTATAATGTTAGTTTCTAGTATTTCTTGTTATGTTTTAACAGACATACTGAAATATTGCTGATTATTCATGCCATTCTCAATCATAAAATTTATATAGTCTCTGTGCAGTGTCGATCATTTGAAGTTCTGTTGCTTTTGAATGTTCCGAAGTACTTTCCCATGTTGAATTGTTGTAACTGTGTAAGCTATTTCTAAGTGACTTAGGAACGCTTATACTTCAGTAAGCTGTTGTAAAGCGCTTAAAAGTACTGTTTTTTTTCTCTTCTTTAAAGGTTAGAATTAGGAATCTGCAAAATTATTTTTTCGATCCCATTTTAGAATTTTCTCTTATTTCTGGTTCCAATCTTGTTTTCAAGAGTCGACAAGTTTTAATAATCTATATCATTCTTCAAATGCATATAAAATTTTCATAAATGAGTTTGAATTGTTAATAATACCGAACATCTTTTCATATGCAAGTATCAGAATTACGAATATACAAAATCACTTTGTTTTTATTCATTCAGAATTTTGCTTAGTTCTAATCATATAACTTCGAAAAATTGAATCAAAATGAATTAATTGGCTGAAGTTGTATTGCTTCTCCTAGAATAGCATAACCACTGAAAGATTCTAACTCTTATCCATATTTAGTTGATATAATGTCTTTCTACTGAATTTCTTCTAGATGAATAATTTTAGGAAAAAAAAAGGATATTTTTGTACTTCGGCTTTCAACTTTTTAAACATGAAGAGCTTAATTAGATTATCTCATATACAAAGTTTCATCAGTTTTGAATATCGTAATATCCATATATGAATTTCTTAAAATACTCGTGTTTTACTCAATACTAAAACTAAAAAGAGTATACATTTTAAGAAATTCATATAGTGATATTATGACACTCAAAACTGATGAAACTTTGTATATAAAATAATCTAATTAATTCCTTCATGTTTACACGGTTGAAAATCGAAGTTCAAAAATATGTTTTTTTTTCCTCAAACTGCTTGTCTTTACAAAACTCAACCAAAGCAAAAGTTGGAATTTTTTGGAGATGATGTTGGTAATTGAAGCGGATCATCTATAGATGTTCATTCGTTGAAATTCAATGTTTGGAAGTGTTTAAATTATCGATTAATTGATAATTTTTTATGATTGATAATCTATAACCTACTCAAACACAAGTCCTCCCCTAGTTGTATTGGCAAACGAAATATAGTAATGAAAATTTTAAATATAAGTACCGATTACTGTATTGTTGATTTTTCTTTGATAATCTCGAATTTGTTATTTCATCTTTTTTAACATACTTTGATTTTTATTGACTCACAACGATTACAAAATTTCTGTTTTTTCTTCGTCGTTGACGACAAGAAATGTATGCTTTTCATGTACCATTACACGGTATAGTTTTAAGCAGCTTTTACAATGAGATGAGATGATTCACGTTTAGCAAAAGAAAACAACTTATCTTCTCTTGCTTTGTATTATTTGAAATGAATCTATCAATACATGTTACTTTGTTGTTCTGTTGAGAATGGGAATCGTATGATCGATATGAAGCTTTCAAGTATCACTCTTGAGTTAGTTCAAATGAATGAAATATGGAGAGATCCACGTTTTAGATTGGATTAATTTGATAATTTCTTGTTCGTATCTCATAGAACTTAGATGAAGAGTTGTAACTATGGATAAAACTATTTATGGCCACAAGAAGCACTAAGGTGTCTGCACCGAAGGAAACTGGAAATTTTTAAAGACATATTTAAACGCATTATATTTTACAGTAGGTTTCAGAAAAATTAATTGCGATGAAAGCATATGCTTTACCATTTATCCTGCTTTTTATTGGCACGACAACATCTATTTCTCTTCCTGATTTCGGTAATACTAACTCATAGAAATACTTGATTATTTAGTTCTTCTTACGTAGGTTTTTGTACTGGTCGATGGGAATTCTTCGATGCTCTTAAAACAAAAGTTACTATTGATTGGCAAATATTCTCTCTGACAAATACTTTGATTGCTCAATTTCGACCTAGTAATGTAGAACAAGGTTTCTGGTATGCGTTTGGTCTTCGCTTTTCTTCAGAAAAACCTGTATGCGTTTTGCAACGCTGTTCAAATCGCAATGCTTTCAATTAATTTTTCTCTTAGGTTGCCGAAATCGTTTACTCTCTTCGATGGCCTATGAATGATTCAGAACTCTTTTGGGATATTTTCAGTGTAACTGACACGAATGTGACCATCCTGGATCGTATTTGGTCAATCGTTGACAGATTTCAAAACTGGATCACATCGGGTCTACTCATTGTTCGACCATCCTTAACAAGAGAAGATATTATTTCATTTCTGACCGGCCAGCAATGTCTGTATTTGGTCTACATGCGAGGACATTTTGCTGGTGATCGACCATTACCTCCTGATGAAGTCATATTTAATCAATCATTATGTATCACTTGTTCAGGTAAATTCTTCTATGCAAACTTTTCACATCATCATTCAAGTATCACTTATCTCTAGCATCCCAGATACCTTCGACAAGTACGCCTATAAATAATATCAATTCCACTACCGTTGTTGAGGGAACAACTACATTGACCATATCGAATTCGTCACTTAGTATTTCAACAAGCACTACCAATGGGTCTTCATCAAATGTTTCAACAAGCACAATCAGCTCTTCATCAGGTATTTCAACTACTATCAATACTGCTTCATCAAATGTTTCAACAAGCACTACCAATGGGTTTTCATCAAATG